CTCTACTACATATGAAGTTCTTGACAATTATACACACTTAAACATTGCATACTGTTAGGCAGACACACATGTGTTGTAGGCTCACTGACATAAACTTAAACAAAAACAGAGATGAAAAGAAAACAGAGGTAAAAACTTATTTAACTTCCACTATTTTTTTATAGCTCGTTGTTTAAATTTTTTATATTATATACATACATACATATATACTCAACAACTACCTTTCCACAAGACCTGCAACTTGAAGTTTTTAAATACAGTATAAAAATCCTTTTTTCATTTAAGTAGTTTTTTTCTGCTTTTGCTAGAATGTATATTTTTCTTCGTTTAATCATAGAATTCCTTCCAGTTTGAGTTTTTGTTGTGCTGTTTTTTTTTGTATTAGTACGCAATCTACTTATGGTAAATGTAGGAAAAAATTTTCAAACAAAAAGTAAAAAAAAAACACTTTCAACAACGAAACAATTGCTTAAGGGTTTTTTATATTTCTATAGTATTACTCTTTTTTGTTTAAAGAAAACAACAACAAAAACTGTGAGTTTTTTGCTATAGGTACTAGTTAAAACTGAAAAGCCATTGTTAAAAACGGATTTTGTATGCATTTCTGACTTTGAGTATAACTTTAGTTGTACTCACTACTACTTTTTTTGGTGAAGTAGGTACTTTAATGATTTTTAGTTGACATTTTCCTGACTTTTTCATTTTATTTGAATTTTTGTTTGTTAAATACAAATAATAGTAAGTATTATTATTTTATTATAATTATAATTTCATTATCATGAAATTTCAAAGCTCATACAATATTTGCAGAACACAATTTGGTGGAAAAAAATCTGTTGCTATATTTTTCTAAAAATAAAACTATTTATATATAAAAACCACTAAATAAAGGTTATTAAATTGTGTTGGTTTTGTATTTAAATTGTGGCAGGGTTTATTATGTTGAGATAATTAAATTAAAATTGTTATTGGAGTAAAATTTTATTTTAGATTATTAAATGACATTACTAGATTTTGTGAAGCTAGGTGCTTAGGGGATTAAAGGTTATTTGGGATATTATATGAACTAACTAAAAATAGATTAACTCTTAAACTTGTGAATACACAAGTCCATATATCAGTTCATAGCATTATCTAGGGATTTGTCTGTTGACTAGTCCATAGACTAGCCAATTGTCTTCTGGACTAGTGTATTAACTATTCTGTAGTTTACTCTGTAAACTTGTCTATTGACTACTCTATGGACAAGTCTATTGATTAGTCTATGAACTAACCAATTGCCTACTCTATTGATTATGATGGCTAGTCTGTTAACTAGTACTAGTACCTATTAACTAGTCCATGAACTAGAATATGGAATAATCTATTGCCTAGCCTATAGACTATTCTATTACCCCCTTATTCACAAACAAAATTTTTATTTTATAAAAGGTTTATAAAACAAAGTTTCCATACAAAATCTAATTTATAAATCGTTTATAAAATAAAAATTTTGTTTGTGAATAAGAAGGTTAGTCTAAATAATATTCACTAGGTTTATCTATGGATTAGTTTATGAAATAGTCTTCTGACTATAGATTATTTAATAGACAAGTCCATAGAGTCTTCTATAGACTAGGCTTAAATAGATAAATAATGTATCTTTAAATTAGTCTAATTTCAACGAAGGGTATTTAAACATTCGATGTTGACTAACATAGTACTCTAACTTGTCTCTCTCTCTCCTCACATTCCTTCCTCTTTCTAATATTTCTTTTAATTCTCATATATGCATATTTAGTCTTCTGACTATAGATTATTTAATAGACAAGTCCATAGAGTCTTCTATAGACTAGGCTTAAATAGATAAAAAACGTATCTTTAAATTAGTCTAATTTCAACGAAGGGTATTTAAACATTCGATGTTGACTAACATAGTACTCTAACTTGTCTCTCTCTCTCCTCACATTCCTTCCTCTTTCTAATATTTCTTTTAATTCTCATATATGCATATTTATTACTTCTTTATTTCCTGTTTATTTTCCTATTTAAAATTTTTTGCATTGTCATGAATAAACGTATGTTTATGTTATCTTTTATTGGGCTTATATGAGTAGATTTCTTCATCCTCCTTTACTTCCAATTTAAAAAGGGTTTGGAATACTAAAGAAAATATAGCAAAATAAAAAAAAAATTTTGTAATATTTTTAGTTTTTCGTCTTCATTTCATGTTACGCAGTAAAGTTATTTTTTCTTTTAATTGGAACTGAGTAAGCAATTGTGTCGAAAAAGACAATTAACAAACATTTTTTTTAATTTTTTACGATTTTTTAGTAAATTACTAAATGTTATTGGCAGAAGAGAGAAGAAGAATTTGTTTTTATTATACTTAAAATTCCAAAAAGCTTTAAAAAAAGTGATTAAGTGAACTTTTGAATTCATAATTACATTGGTTCTCTCAATTAACTAATTTTTATCAATTTAACCCATTAATGCCCACGGCGATCTACGTAAGGTAGAAATGTGAATTTTGGATATGACAGTTGACTTGTGTATATAAACCGATTTCAATTAAAAAATTCTTTCTATCTTGCCTTGTTTGGATTTTAGAAGACGTTACGTATACGTAACAGTGGGCATTACCCACGAATTTTTGTCCCTTAAGTATTTTAAGTAAAAGTTACATATTTTTACCAAAAAATCGCAATTTCCCTAATAATCCAAGAAAATGGTCATAATTTTCAACCCATGTTTAATTTTTGAAGGATAATTGCAATTATATTCCGTTTTTCTAGTAAAAATATATATTTAATATTCGCCAACTGTGCCTTGAACAAGTTCTAATGCGGTCAAGTGGCATATCCTTTACAGAAATACTTAAAAAATTTTAAATATCCACGAAAGGACGATTTAATAGAAACATTTACATTAAAAATATATTGCTTGTCATCAAATATCAATATTTCAAGAAAATATATTGTTTTTTATTACGTTAAAAATCCATTCTTCTGATAAAAAACTGTTCTTGAAGCAGATTTCATATAAAAGTAAGCAAGTTGTTCATTATTAATATCGTATGTAGAGTGGGACAAAAAGTACTGAGAACTGCCCACTGTTACATATACGTAACACCTTTATTATCCTCTTTATAAGTCTCCGCAAGGACATGGTATATGTTTATAAACAATTAGGTAATAAACAATAATTACTTCTTTATAATTTTACGTCAGAAACTTTTTTTAAAAAACTAACTACATGGAAGTTATTAACATTCTAAGAATTCATTCCTCGAAAAATATGACTTTTTGCAGGTTTACGAAATAGGCACTTTACAAAATAACCCAAAAATACAATTCTATAGGCAAAAATTACTCAAATTCGATTTATAATCGTTAAGAATATGTTAAGTTAACCTATCCATCACAAAAAAGTAACTTTGCATTTTCCATTTCTGTGCATTTCGAGTCCAAATTCGAATTAATTTGCGTTACGTATATGTAACTGTGGGCATTAATGGGTTAAAAATATCTTGTAAATAAATAAATCAAACCACAGGACGTATAATTGCCAAAATATATAATTTAAAAATTACACAGAGAAAACAGATTCGTTGTCACAACCGAATTTGTTTCCAATCGAATTTGTTCGGTTGCATGTACTTCCACAAAAATTTATTGTAATTATCGAAAATTTCGTTCCATAACACTACTTTTTAGAACAAAGGTTGGTTGTTACTACCGAATTTTCAATTGAAGCCAGGGAAATTTTAGTTAGCGTAACTACTAATTTTTAAAAACAATTCGGTCATAGGAACCGAAACTATCAATATTAAGAACCAATTAAAATACATGTTTTTATGTTTTTTTGTTTATTTGTTTATTTTTACTGTTTATTTACTATTGTATAAATATTATAGATAAATTGAATTACACATATATGAACATATGAATACATCTTGAATATATACATATTTTGCAGAGATATGTGATAAGTTGTTATATTTTCCTTGTGATTGGCTACATCATCAAGCAATTTGCACTAATATATACAGTTTACCGCTTTCTTAAAATAAATGCAAATATGTACATCTTGATGTTTGAAATAATCTTGAAGACTTCCATGGGTACTTGGGGTTGCTGGCCACTTTCGAGGTCGCAGATCTGCGGAAATGTACGTTTGTTCTTACTTTGCGTACACGGGTACTTAAAGCGTCCTTGATAATATTGTTCTGGGCCTTTTTAGGCTTTAGCAAAGCTACAGCCTTAGCCTTCGAGGAGAGTTTGTGCTTCTTACCAGCAGCAGCCTTCTTTTTGGTATTCTTAGTTTTTGGCTTAGCCTTAGAGGCAACTTTCTGTGTAAGAGAGGCTTTCTTGACAACTGGTTTTTTAGTAGCAGCAGCAGATCTTTTAGCTTGATCCGGCTTTGCTGCACTTTCCTTTTTGCGAGCGGCAGAAGTAGTAGCCGAAGCCTTCTTCTCTTGTTCCTTATCACCAGGCTTGACAGCGGTTTTTTCGGTTTTCTTTGAAATTTAAGACTATCAATATTTAAAAAATGCTTGTAGGTATGGACACACAGCGTTCTGAAATTAAACATGTGATGTTTATTTCATATTTCATACATGGAAAGAATTTTTACTTACAATTTCTTTTAAAAATCTGCAAAGCTTCTATTTATTTTAAATTTTTTATTTTATTTGTAAATGTTTGTTCTTTCTTATTTCTTTATTATTTTAGTACTAAATATTTTTAAATGTCAAGTAAACTAACCATTTGTATATTGAATTCGATTGGAAATACCGAATTAGATTTTATTGTAATAAATATCGATTTTTTCGGTTGGAAATACCGAATTATTCTCTATTTTATTAATATAACCGAACTTTCTATACTTTTAATTGAAGTATGTGGATGTCATAACTAAAAACAAATGTTTGGCATTAATAAAAAGTTGTAAGCAAAATTGTGATTACAAGTACTGATATTTACAGTTGAAGCAAAAAATTGTTAACGGTTATTTTAATTATGTCATTTAGCAAGACCGAATTAAATATACAATTATTTGCTTCAACTGTAAATATCAGTACTTGTAATCACAATTTTGTTTACATCTTTTTATTAATGCCAAACATTTGGTTTTAGTTATGGCACCCACATACTTCAATTAAAAGTATAAAAAGTTCGGTTATATTAATAAAATAGAGAATAATTCGGTATTTCCAATCGAATTCAATATACAAATGGTTAGTTTACTTGACATTTAAAAATATTTATTACTAAAATAATAAAGAAATAAAAAATAACAAACATTTACAAATAAAATCAAAAATTGAAAATAAATAGAAGTTTTGCAGATTTTTAAAAGAAATTGTAAGTAAAAATTGTTTCCATGTATAAAATATAAAATAAACATCACATGTTTAATTTCAGAACGCTGTGTGTCTATACCTACAAGCATTTTTTAAATATTGATAATCTTAAATTATCACCGCTGCCAAGCCTGGTGATAAGGAACAAGAGAAGAAGGCTTCGGCTACTACTTCTGCCGCTCGCAAAAAGGAAAGTGCAGCAAAGCCGGAAAGATCTGCTGCTGCTACTATAAAAACACAGAAAGTTGCCTCTAAGGCTAAGCCAAAAACTAAGAATACCAAAAAGAAGGCTGCTGCTGGTATGAAGCACAAACTCTCCTCGAAGGCTAAGGCTGTAGCTTTGCTAAAGCCTAAAAAGGCCCAGAACAATATTATCAAAGACGCTTTAAGTACCCGTGTACGTAAAGTAAGAACAAATGTACATTTCCGCAGACCTACGACCTTGAAATTGGCCAGCAACCCCAAGTAACCAAGGAAGTCTGTACCCAGAAATCGCATAGACGTTATGGTAAGAAAATCGAAACTATTTCTTTAAAAGATTTTTTAGAAAAATCCTTTGTTTTGTTTTCAGATACTGTGCAGATAATGTTTGGTACGACGAAATTACATTTGTATGAGGGCATAATTTGACCATGCAGTTGGCAAAAATACAGGACGAATTTAGTAAACAAATTTCAAGATTATTTCAAACATCAAGATGTACATATTTGCATTTATTTTAGGAAAGCAGTAAACTGTATATGTATATTAGTACAAGTTGCTTGATGATGTAGCCAATCACAAAGAACATATAACAGCTTACCACATATCTCTGCAAAATATGTATATATTCATGATATATTCATATGTTCATATATGTGTAATTCAATTTATCGATAATATTTATACAATAGTAAATAAACAGTAAATACAAAAAAAAAACATAAAAAACATGTATTTTAATTGGTTCTTAATATTGATAGTTTCGGTTCTTATGACCGAATTGTTTTTAAAAATTAGTAGTTACGCTAACTAAAATTTCCCTGGCTTCAATTGAAAATTCGGTAGTGACAACCAACCTTTGTTCTAAAAAGTAGTGTTATGGAACGAAATTTTCGATAATTACAATAAATTTTTGTGGAAGTACATGCAGCCGAACAAATTCGATTGGAAACAAATTCGGTTGTGACAACGAATCTGTTTTCTCTGTGTAGGAAAAGAAGGAAACAATTTTTCATTTCACTGGTAATAAATATGTTTTTCAACATCTTCATCTGCCGCCATTTAAGGAAAAAAGCAGAATCGAGCATATTTCCTGCTATATAAGAAGCCAAATGGAAAAAATAAGGATAATTTAAAAAAAGTTACAAAAAAAGTATTATAGTAAAAATGCAATGAGAAATAAGTTATGGAGAGTTTTTGAAAGTGAAAATTGTGGATTTAAAAAAATTTAACATTAATTGTGGGTAACTTTTAAGTGAAAGTCTACTAACTAACTAACTAACTATTATATTTTGATGAAAAATAAAACCTGTTGTAGACCTGAAGCTTTATTGTAAAAAATATTGAGGCTTTTTGTCACTTTTGTATATTTTATATTGAGGTTAAGCTTTAAACATCTACATATATCACATAATTCCATTATAGCTATTAATAATTTTTTTGTTCTAATAATTTCAATATTCTTGATTAACTTTAATATCCTGGCAAATCTTTCCCTTTTTATTAATTAATTAAATTTCCTTTTAAAATCAATTATATTTCTTACACAAATATTAAGAGGTATTAGTTTAATGAAAACTAATCAATTAAGCAAAATCTTATTATAAATAATATTGTAAAATAAAATTACAAATAAATATCTAAAACTACAAATAGAAACAAAGAGATAGATATTAATTATGGTATTGTTATGTTTTTTAAAAAATTATTATTAAATCATTACAAACCCATTGATAAAGATAATGATGATTGAATGGATTTAAATATTTATGACAATGACAATAATAAATAATACTCATACGCAACCGAGTTCTAGGAAAATACAAACATAAAGTGAGAAAGAATTTGAGGTAGAGAGAGAGGGAATAAAGTGAGGGTTTTTGATAAAACAATATAATCAATTGTACTGCACTATGATGTGAGAGCTTTTAATACCCAGCAGTTTTTCAAGAAGTCAAGGTATCCTTTGAAATTGATATGTATTTAGAGATTAGTCAATCATCAGTAAAGAATCACTAATAAAACACTTTGAACCCCCCGAAGTAATCCATATCCGTTTCTTATCAAAAGTTGTATGAAAACTTAGCCAAATGATCAATTGAATTCGGCTTAGGAAATGTTAAAGTATCTATACCATAGATAGTTCAACAACCAGGGGAACAATGTCACTGTCTCTACGATTTAACATATTTTAATGTATTTGTCTATGTATGCACATCTGATGATGATGGTGTTTAAATGTATTTTTATTTGCTGTTAAGCATGTTAAGCCATCAAAAAGCTAATCTCAAACAGCATGTCGTTTATTGTATGTGAAACAATAAATGCACAAATGCAAACAACAATATTTTTGAACAGGAAATACACGCAGATAGACGTAGACATACATACATCTAACCATAACAATTGGGAAAAGGGTTGAAGGGCAGAATAATGCGACTAACTATAATAAGTTGATAAAGCACAAACTTTCAAAAATAAAAAATCACTTTAAATTTAAAAAGCTTATTTTATAAAGTACAATTTAAATTTCGGAAAAATTTTTAGAAAATAACTATACTTTAGATATTATAGAAATACAAAGCAACTTAATATTTCCACGAATCTTTAAGTAGAATTAAAGTTTTTGACAGACACAACCTTGGTTTTGTCATAAGAGTTAATGGGGTGTGGCTTACAATTAAGATTATATACGATAGGAAATATTTTCGAAATTACTCACTTGAATCCGGTCAAAATGTACATACATAGATTATTTATCTGTCTATCTATCTATCTATCTATCTATCTAATCTATCTATCTATCTATCTATCTATCTATCTAATCTATCTATCTATCTATCTATCTATCTATCTATCTATCTATCTATCTATCTATCTATCTATCTATCTATCTATCTATCTATCTATCTATCTATCTATATCTATCTATCATCTATCTATCTATCTATCTATCTATCTATATCTATCTATCTATCTATCTATCTATTATCTATCTATCTATTATCTATCTATCTATCTATCTATCTATCTATCTATCTATCTATCTAGCTATCTATCTATCTATCTATCTATCTATCTATCTAGCTATCTATCTATCTATCTATTATCTATCTATCTACTATCTATCTAGCTATCTATCTATCTATCTATCTATCTATCTATCTATCTATCTATCTATCGATCTATCTATCTAATCTATCTATCTATCTATCTATCTATCTATCTATCTATCTATCTATCTATCTATCTATCTATCTATCTATCTATCTATCTATCTATCTATCTATCTATCTATCTATCTATCTATCTATCTATCTATCTATCTATCTATCTATCTATCTATCTATCTATCTATCTATCTATCTATCTATCTATCTATCTATCTATCTATCTATCTATCTATCTATCTATCTATATATCTATCTATCTATCTATCTATCTATCTATCTATCTATCTATCTATCTATCTATCTATCTATCTATCTATCTATCTATCTATCTATCTATCGATCTATCTATTATCTATCTATCTATCTATCTATCTATCTATCTATCTATCTATCTATCTATCTATCTATCTATCTATCTATCTATCTATCTATCTATCTATCTATCTATCTATCTATCTATCTATCTATCTATCTATCTATCTACTATCTATCTATCTTATCTATCTATCTATCTATCTATCTATCTATCTATCTATCTATCTATCTATCTATTCTAGTCTATCTATCTGTCTATCTATCTATCTATCTATCTATCTATCTATCTATCTATCTATCTATCTATCTATCTATCTATCTATCTATCTATCTATCCATCTATCTACTTACCTACCTACCTGCCTGTCTGTCTACCTACCTACGTACCTATTTACCGCGCCCACATACAAAATAAGTTAGGTTAAGTCGCATATCTTAGTAACTGTAATACCCAGTGATGTTCGTTTAGGTCTTGACTTCTATAAACAGATCAATTTTAAATTGAATAATGTTAAAACTTACAAAGCTTATATCTCAAACCTAACCTTTGGCATGAAAGCCTTACAAAGAAACTCAGAAACAAACGGGCATATATTTCAGATTATGGATATGTTGTAAAATGCATTAGGGTAGTGTCATATTTTCACAGTTCTAACTAGTTCAACTAGTAAAATTTTAATTTTCCTTTTTAAATTTTAATTGAGGAAAGATTATTTAAAGATAAATTTATATTTTTGTTGAGAACATCACATTCTTAATGAGAGTCCACCCTAATATTCATACAAATGTATGTAAGTGTATTATGGTGGTTGATATTAGTTCGAATTTATTATACATATTCTTGAGCTTTAAGGTTGTATTTGTGGTTATAAGAATATTATATATCCTATTGTAGTAATAACACAATAAGGAACTTGCTTTTGTACGTACTATATCTATGTAGTAAGTACATCCATTAAAATCTTATAATGCTAATATTTCAAACTTATTAATTTACGAATATGTATTGTATTAATAGTGCCTACATTTAGGCACCATGTTGAGTGTAGTAGTAGTATATACTTGAGTAAGTAAGTGTAATGTTAAACAAAATAAGGAGTACAACAGCAAAGCTTAAATAATATGAGTAGATAGAAGTTATATTAAAAATATTAAAGATTTAAAAAAAATAATTTATGGTAAATATTGAAATTTAGAAAATTGTATTCAATTTTTTTTAATTGAGAGATAAAAAATCGCTGAGATTATTTTATTCACAAAAACTCCTTAGAGTTTATGATAATTACATTATTTTTTAAAAGACTTAAGCTTGAATAACAGCGTGTCTCTACAACCAAACTACTAATATTTTAACGTTTATAATTAACCTCGTCAACTGAAATACATACTTAAAACGTATTTGATTAAAAAAAAAAAAAAAAATTAAATAAAAAATAAAAGTAGAAAAATACTGAAAGGAAAGAATAATAAAAATATTCTTGTAAAATAAATAACGTATACATTTTTTTCTTTTTAAGCATTTAAGCCAAAAGGTCAACAGTTGGAAAAACGTAACGAAAATATATTTAAAATAGATTAAAAAGGAAGGATTAGAAGTAGTGACATATGCCTAATATGCCTTTTTCCAAAAAGAAAGCATATTTTTATAATCAGTGTGTTATGGAGAAAATACACTTGAAAAAATATAAATATTCAGACGCAGTTTGGTGTTTGAGTTTAGACACAGCTTAGTGTATGTTTTCATATTCAGTTCAGTGTATTGTTCAGTGTCTGAGAAAAA